TTCCGATTCCATGGAATCGAAGCTGGCTGTTGGCAATGGCAGTGCTGAGCAAGATACCATTAAGTATGACCTTGCTGCTGCCTCCTTCCCTGTTGCGCTTCTTTATAGATGTGATATCTCTTTCCTTTTAAAAATTACATCAGTTCTGTATATTTTTACTTTTTTTCTTAGGCTTTCTGAAGCATACTGGATTTCATTTATCAGTCTGAGTAGTTAGGTGTCTCATTTTAGTGGTATATATGTGTACATGTGATATTTTTGACTAACGCTTTTCAGTGGGATTCTGTGTCCTGGGCTGATTCATGCTTCCCTTATTCTGCCACTTCTCTAATGTGAAACAGTAGGGTACAAACTGCATGACCCTCTACTACTTAGGGAGAAGTCTGAGCTAAAGAAAATCTTACATTTTGTTAAGGACAGGGTGAAGTCCACCATTTGCTTTGAAGCTTGACTTGCTATTTGACAATATTTTTGTATTGCTAATGTCACCATGTCTTTCCCATCATTTAGCCTTGGACTAATCCCTTTGATGAGCCCACAGATTTTCTTTCTGTCTGGGGTCCTTATACAAATCATCTGTCTAAACGTTCATGCTTTGTAGCAGTATCTGCTAACCACAAGAAATGAGGCTGAATGCTCCAGAAGGCAGAATTTAAGGGAGGTTTTATTTTAAGAAGCGTGTTCTTAACTCTTCTTAACCGACAAACTGTGCAATATAATGCCCATCTGGCTGGGTGGGCAACAACTGAAATTACAGAGGCTCTGTCTGCTGAGGACGGTCCATTTTTGGTATTGTTACTCAAATGGACCTCCACTTAGATGTAAAGCTAGCGGTGTTCCTTTCTGTAAAGCATTAGGGAGACATCTCTGCGCAGTGGGAGTGGAGCTAGGAGGGAGCTCTTTGCCATTCTGTAAAGGCGTATACCAAACTTCTGGAGAAGAGTGCAGGGCTATGTTGTGAGAAGAAGCAGGCTGATAGTACAGAAGGCGTGTACTGTGAGATTAGGCTTGTTACCTGTGGAGATTTAGGGGTGGTAAATGCTGCCAGCAAACCTTTTCAACTGTTTGAAAACATTTTAGTATTGGCATTCCAGCTGAAATTTGTTCCTTCTCAGGGATGCTAGACTTACTTTTTTGTCAGTGGTGGGAGAATCTTTTCTTTTTTAGATCAAAGATGAGAGAGTGAAAGGGCTACTTCATGCCTGTTGTGGCTGGTACTGGTCACTTGTGGTATAGCCTTATCTTTATACATGGCTTCATTTTCAGTGAATAATCAGTGCTGACCGTTAAGGAAGCATTGTCCTGGGCAAGCCTCTTACGCTGAGGTACCAAAGAGGTGAGATACGTGGGGGCTGGTCAGTGTTAGCATGCTCCTTACCAGCCAAGAATGTCTGGAAAACCAGTGTTGTTCTTGGCTGGCTTGTAGGCTTGACGAGCTGTCTTTTGTAGACTGTTTAACCTGAGATAAATTCCACAAGATGTTTAGGATTTTGCCAGCCTCCAATTTAGATAGATGTCCTCTGTCCAATACTGAGCGACTGCTATACTCAGTCAAGCAGTGAGTATTTGTACCATAATCCAGTGAGTGAATATGAGGAGTAAGAGAGATACCAGGTACTCCACAACGGGTTGGATATTTTTACTTTATTATCTACCTGTGCTTTAAAGAAAAACTTGAAGGGCTTGAACTTGTTTGGTAGGAATTGGTGGTAAAGGACACACTGGGTGCTGTGACCTAGTCTGACCATGAAAGTGGTTCTCAGAAAGATGTGGAGTAGAAAATTGTCGGTTGAGGGCTTGGGAGAGGGCAGATTGCTTTCCAGACTCAAAAACCAGTGTATGCCCTAACTAAATCTGCATTTCTGTGGAGGCTTAAGGGTTTGGGCTAGACAACAGCAATTCAGTCTTAAAGGCCCCTTGGAAAACGTGAGCTGCTCTGTCTTCCTTTATGCTGCCTCTGTTATGTGCCCAAGTCTAAGACTGGGATCTGGATCAAGCCTAGCTTAAAGATAAGAAACTTTATCGTTTTCTTGATCAATCTCATGAAAGCTGCTTAGGATGGGCCACCAAGAGGCCCCTTGGTTGTAAGGAGTTTACTGTATGGCTCTTACAGAAAAGCCCCCCCATCCCACTGTAGAAGTACGTAAGGCCAAGCGGGGCCTAACCGCTAAATGATGCGTGGTTCCATTCGTTGAAGACTCCAGAAACTGTCTGGGTTTTCCAGATGTCTGCTGTAGAGTTACAGTACTCCCCAAGATTTTAGTTTCGTGCTTTTAAGATTGAATCCACTCAGGAAATTAAGAAGGCAAATCAGTATTGAAGATTTAAACCACTTCCTTTTTTGTGTGTATACGTTGATAAAACAGTATCAGTAATTTGGACTATTACTTTGTAATTCGAACTACAGTAGTAGGCTTGGGATCCACATACATGAAACCATGTTTTAAAACCCCTCCTCCCACTCCAGAAAGCAAACTTTAAAATAAAATCCTTTTTTCAGCATTTTGATGATGACCTTCCATTTGGATACTTTTAATCCTCAATCTGTATAAAAGTTATGTCTTGCATTAAATCCTTTATGTGGTTCCCCCCGCCATGGATTTCTGAAGTAATCCTCTGTGTGCCATATAGCTTGTTCTTCAGATTGCGTGCATACAATCTCCTCATTTCTAGGAGTCCTATTTATAAAGTTTTAAAATGTTTGTTTTAAACAAAATTCAACTGGATATCCATTTCTAATCAGAAGTCAGTTGTATACATTCTGCATCTCCGAAATCCTATTCTGCTGAAACTAAATACTTTCTGTAATGTAGAGAATATGAGTCAAATGGGGCACTTGGCAGAGGAGTCTGTGATGTACTTGGTAATGAGTAAGACTCTTTTGATAATGACTTTTTGTTGGGATTTTTTTCCTTTTGAAGATTTTTGTGGGAAAGAAAGAATCCATTCAAAAGGGAATGTGTATATTCACAGTTCTGCTGGTAGGTAGACATTGCTGGACTGCTAATGGGGTACTGAAATGTGTTTTCTTTTCTGTATCTCATGTTGCATGCATCTGCTGTATTTTTTTTCCATCATAACTACAGATCTTAAATGTAGAGCATGTAGTGAGACAGTCCAGCACTTCTCCTTTAAAAAAAACTATGTAAAACTGCTTGATATCGGCCATGTGCATGTAAGGATTTATACTAACCCATGGAATATATGTTAGGATAGTTGATCTTTCACCGTGAAAGCTGTGCAAGAGTCTCATCCTCACCGTTCATGTGGTAATTCTCGGCTTCCTTCCCATACCTGTATAGGTCACACATTGCTGACATGAGTGAAGATTTCTTTCATCAGAGGATGGATTCAGCGATCCCGTTTATGTAGTGCAGAACTGCAGACATTGTGTTGATGTAAGTGATTGAAGCGGTGAACTGCAGTGTGTGGACAGGAACGAGCAGCTGTAGCTGATGTGGGGAACTGAGAATCTCATAAGGTGCCTTCGCTGCCAAGGCTAATGGGATGTGTCAATATATCCTCATCCACCCTGACAGTACTAGAGGGTTTGAGTCCTGTATAAATTTCCATTCACCTTGTACTAGGCTAGTGCCCTATGGCATCTATTCTGTAATGTTTTTCAATCTAGTGTTAATTCTCTAAAGCAGGCTTACTGTTTCTTGAACCACAGGCATACTTAAATAAATCACTGTTGGTTCAAATCGCTTAGTTTAATAGGATCCTGTCTGACATAATTTTAGTCGGGATTGTGAAGCTGTGTTTGGAAGGCACCTTCTTCCCCATGTAGTACAGCTATCCTGGTGATAAGATAGGGAGACCTCTTGAGTGAATGAACTATGTTGGGTTGATGGTTGGTCTTGATGATCTTAGAGGTCTTTGCTAACCTTAACGATTCTATGATTCTGTATGTGCCCGAGGATTTTATAATGTGTAACTTCATAACAGTTTCTTCTGTAAGTGTGTGAACACTTAGGTGAGGACCAAGGCCTTGACCAAGTGGTAGATCTTGGTAGCAGGCGAACTAGAGGACATCATTATTTTTTGGAGTAGGTGGCCACTACACCAAAGCTTACTGGACTTGAGGTGGGAACACAACAATGTTAAAGCTCTAATATGTTGAGGGAGTATGAAGGAAACTTAGTGATGACAGTGAACAAGAGGTGTTGTCTAGGACACTGATATTTTGCCTTTGAGAAATCTGCGTGTGGTGACTTTAGCAGTGTCTTGCTCTTCTAGATGCTTTGGCTTTGTTATAAATCTTGTTCTGTGTCCTTGAAATAGAGAAGTTTTTCCTCTTCTAGATTTTTATTGTCTAAAATGTCTGATCAAGTTCCTTCAAGGAATGTGTAGCAACAACCTTTAAAAATATGGCTGTAATATTAGTCTCTTGTGATCAAATGGTCTAGTTTAGAGATCATCTTTGTACAGTTCTTGCAGAAAGGGCAGCTATGTCTTAACCACAAAAATTTAATTTACAAAAAATCAGTGTATGACTGTATGTTCATCTGTATGTCAGAATATTCTCTTGATGCTAAGATCTATAATATCTTTTGGAAATGTATCAATACTTAATTTTTGCAAGATTCTCATTGCTTTTTTTTAGTGTTTTGGTGGGTTTGTGTTTAGTAATATTTTAATTTACTGTGAAGTATCTCAGTGGGACTCAAATCTGGTGTTTTAGTATGCTTTACTATAGGCTATTATCTTATATTTTTCCATCTCCACAGTCTTTAAGTGCGTACCTTCTTTTATTTCCATTTTAAAAAATGGGCATTGGTTATAAAACAACACAAGCTGTTTTTGTCCCTTGAGAAAACTGAAACTGCAACATGAAATAATGTTTAGCTCCAAACAGTTATAAGTATGCGTAGATTCTACTCATGCATGTTTTAGTACGGTTTTTTTTTAACTGATCACTGAACCTGACTTTTTTAATGCATGTCTTTAGTTATTCTATTACTGAAAAGCTAAGCTGAAATTTGTCTTTCTGTTTGCAGATAAAGCCACCCGAGTGTGCTAGCAGGTCACAGAACAGCTGTCTTCTCAGACGTGTGAACAGAAAGGATATTCTCTACTCCCTTTTTTAAATGGTAAGTTGTTCGAGGGAGCTCTTGCTGAACGTACCTTGTCACTTACTTTGCATTTGTATGAATCTCTTGCCACAGTTTTCAAAGCTATTTGTAAGTCCTAAAACTGAAGACCGGTGATGAAGTTTGGAAACTGTTCAGAAGGTTTTGAGTTAGCATTGGGAAGGAGGTTTATATTTTTGTGATGTTGAAGATACATTGTATTAGGCCCTGAAACAAGTGTCAAAAGTACTGCTAGACCAGGAGACAAGTATCACTTAAAACACTAATCTTACTGTGTTGAAAACAGAAATAAATTTACTTTATTCATGGATGTTCATGAGATACTGGATTTATAAATTTGCATCTGTTATTTACTTTTACCCTGTATAATCTGTACTTTGCTGATGTGCCATCTTAGAGATTTAAACTAAATCTGCTGAGGTTAAATGTTTGACTGTTTGCCTCAGTGCAACGGAAAATACAAGATTTATGTTTATTGATATTAAACTAGCTTGGTAGGGAAAAATACGCCTGCCCCCAAATATGTCTCAACCGTGCCACGCACACCACGGACTTTTAGAAGAGGAATATCTGTTGTGTTGGTGGAAGAACATAAAAACTGCTGTGTAGCGCTTCCTTCACGGTGTGACATAAGATGTGGGCCACACTGGATGGTCCTAATGAAAGACTACTACCAAAGTGCAGACCACTTTGTTGGAATAAGTAAAGCTGATTATTGTAAACTTTTTTAGGAGGATAGAGCTTGTCTGTTTCTGCAGTGGGAAGGAGAAACCTTTTGAGCACACGAAGAAGCTGGAGAGTAGGTTTGTTGTTGTTCCTTCTGAGGAGGAGGTTAAAAGTAGTGTTAGCTGCTCGTAGGAGTGACTCCTTTCTTCCTGCATTGCACACCACAGTGCCGTCTTTGGCAGAAACTGCAGCCAGCCTTGCTTCGAGGTCTATGAAAAAAGCAAGTATGCAGCTGTGCTTTAGGCAGTCAGTGGTATCCTATGGCCTAGATCTGACTATGGCTATAACCCTGACTTTGGTCCACTTTGTCCCTTCAGCTGAAATTCACATATGCTTATTTTAATTTTGAGTTCTGATTATATGCTTGATGATATTCAAGTTGTTTATCAGCGTATATGTTCTGAAGGAGATTGCACCTTAAGAAAAACTCAAAGTTGAGTTCTGGAAAACTCGGTGTCAAGTAAGAAGCTTTATTTTGAGGGGTGAAGGGATCGGGAAGCAATATGGTCCGCACAGAAATGTGAAAGTTATGGCAACAGCGTTTGATGGAGAAGGATGAAAGAAAACCCGTTCTTTCTCCCTACTTCCCCTCCCGCAATTCCCATTAAGTGGTAAGGTAGCTTGATGGTTATATACTGGAATTCTTTGGAGAAAAGATCACTTGCTGTAGCTTCAAAGATGGAAGAAGTGTGTCAGAGAAAGCAAGTAGTCTGTAACAATGGTAAACCGAATGGACCTATCAAAGACTGAAAATACGCTTCACTGCTAGATTATTAGGTTAGCATATTGCTTATTTAATAAATCAGTGAGATTATTCCTCATAATATATGTATTTACAGGTGTCTTGTAAATGAGCATGTGCGCGAAGGCCTTTCCAGTGGTTAATCCATACCTGTGGTCACTCCAGTGACTGTTAGACCTCTGATCTCTCCAGTATCTAGTCCCCAGATTTACGATCTCTCTAGTATCTGGTTTTACAGACCTCTCCTGTTCTGGGGATTAAAAAAGTCACAGCTGTCATTTTAACTTCCAGTGGTGTTTGGTTTTTTAATAAGCTTATGGTTTTTTATTATAAGCTTAACAATTGTTACAGCACTGTTATTTTTCAGTTGCATTTCATGCTACGTGGAAACATCACTGCTTGCTTTTATTCATGGGAGATTGTAGAGATTAGTTGTTACAGGAACAGGAACCTAAGTGTAGGAATATTTTACCTAGTTTGTATTCATTCATGAAACTTAAAAAATTATGATGAGATTTTCTGTTCATACTCAGTGTAGTATCATCAAATATTTTCTGTTTCTTTGTGCAGTTCAGTGCAACTTTCACGTAGAGTTTAACTGAAAGGTATCTAGTGTTTGATAGTCTGGCGTTTAATGTAGCTGAAGGGTATTTAAGGATAGAATGCTCAACATACTTGAAAATAACATTGATTTTTAAAAAATATTAAACTAACTTTAATAAACATAATAAATTCTAATTTTTGGTTGAAAGCTGCTCATTCATGCCTCAAACTCTAATAGGACATAACATTTGGAAACCCTACTGGTCAATAAAACAAGCTTGTATTTAAATTAATGATTGATTTCAATAGAAATGTAGTATTTTCCTTTTTAAACTTCTGCTTCAAAAAATTTGTCTTGTAAGTCATAATTAAAATTTAAATGGCTTAATTCACCTGTTTTGCATGCATAGTAAGGCATTTTCATTTTAAATCAAGTCATTCGTTTTGTCACTTGGATTATTGTGCCTTGTCTTTTCTTGCTTCTCTGGATTTCCTAGTGTGTTATGCTAATATAAACACCCCCAAAAGTTGTCTAATTGCTCAAAATACAACTATTACATGTTTGTGAAAGCTGCCAGTTCCTTAACATGCCACGCTGTGTAAGTAGCACACTCTGGCTTTTCTAAACTTCCATTGTAATCCTACAACACTACGCTACAAAAGTGTCTCCCACAAAGAAAATTACAGAGCCTGTAGTCGGAAAGGAAATACCAAATGCCGGGCTTGAAAAGGGACCCTCATGCTTACCAGCCCCAAATGTCAATTCACTAGACCAGCTGACAACTTTGTCATCGCAAACAAACAAGTCTAAGAAATGCATGTTTATAGTTAGTTTGGCATATTAATGTTGCATATTCAGTTATATGTTTTGAATAAAGATGTTAAAATTATGTTTGTGATTGCTGTGTGGATAAGATTGTTCTAGTCTTTAACAGTATTTTTATTGTGAAAGCAACTTGGATATTTTTAGTCCAGGTTAAACCAAATTTGTTCACAGACTTTGGCCTGTACTATCTGAGTCTTCAGTCACATAGCCTGTATCCTTTGTGGATGGCAAATTACAGAATGATTTAGTAACTTAAATTCTTGATTTAAACCAAACTATTAAGAAAGACTTACTCTGAATGTTCTTCAGAAGACTGCAGTTTGCATTTTCCCTGAAGAAAAGAAAAGAAGCTTTTCAGAATAGGAGAAGAGTGAGTGCGCAAGGCAGGTGGGGCAGGAGAGAGAAACTAATCTGGAGAATGATGTAAGGTGGTGTGTTTTCTTGGTGGTGGTTTTTTTTTTTTTTTTTTT